CAGCCATGCTGGCTGAGGAATTCTGGGAGTTGAAGTCCACCCATCTTAAAGTTGCTGAGGTTGAGAAACACTGTAGATATTCTAATTCTGCACATGCTAAAGTCTCTTTAGCCTATTTTTAGGACTTGCACTGCTGGAAAGATTCAGTTGATTGTTTTTCTACATTAACGGCATCATAAAAGCAAGGTGAGAGAATGTCTGGTTGGTCTTTTAGGGCGTCTTGTGTCTAAAACACCCATCTTTTACAGAGGATGGTTAACTACCATTTGGGATTTGGAACTCAGGGTGATCACGGCAGGCCAGATGTAAAAGAAATGGAAGAGGACCTTCTTTCTCCTCCTTGTCCATTATGAGAATTTGGGGGTCATTTGGATGAAAACAAAAGACAGGTGATTTGGGGGAGGCCCCTGTAAGTTCTGCTTCCAATATGGGCTCTTGAATTTTGCAAAATGTGCCTTGCCGCTGGATGTGGAGAGAACAGCTCGCTTAGGTAGGATTCAGAGGGGAATTGAGAAATATCTGGAGGTGTCTTCACAAAGGGGAACCTCCAAGTTTGCTGGAAAGCAATTGTACGAAGGGGAAAGAAGCGTTTGCATGGATCCTGAAACCAAGTGGTTGGTGGTTGCAGGAAGCCAGAATGGACCTTTCATCCAATTGAAGAACAACAAGGGCGCCAGTGATATTGAGGATGTCCCTTGCATGATGGATTGGGAAGAGGAGAACCCCTGAAGTGGAGAAGGGCCACAGGGAGAGATTGCTGGGTGAACTGGTCTTTGTTACGAGCAGAGCTGGGGTGCAGCTGAAAAAGAGGAAGGAAGGGGCAGGCAGAGGAACAGGGTAGAGAAAAAGAGGGAACCAAGTCGAGAAAGGTAGAGCAAAGGAGGGCAGGAATGCAGTAGGGACAGAGAGAAAAAGGCAGAAACCGACTTGGACATCCCGAGCGCTGGCAACTCCCAAGGCAAGAAGAAAGTCAAGGCAACCCCGCCAACTGGGGTCCAAAGGGGAACTAGAAGAAGAAAGCCCAGGAGCAAGGAATAAAGGCTTCTGCTAAGGCATAAGCAGACCTCAAGGAGACCTCCAGAGAGAAGGAGGGTGCCCGTAAAGACGTGGGTTGGAGCCTTCGGCAGGTCAGGGAGAGAGAAGGCTCCAGAATCGGGGCGTTGGGCCTTCCGCCATGTCCCAGGGAGGATACTTTGAGAACGAGAGACACTACCAAACCCTAGAAATGGCTCCTGCGAGGTCCACGGGCGGCGACCTGGCCCCCCTTTGCGAGTCGGAGCTGGCCTCGTACATTGGTGATGAGCAGCTGCTCTCTGAGCTGCTGCAGGGGGGCCAGCAAAGGGTCCCCAAAGGGTCCTCCATTCCAAACTACTTCTCCAGCGACCCTTACCCCTTCCTCACCTACGGAGGGGAGCGCAAGGGCCTCGCCCCCTTCGACCCGCGATCGGTGGCTGTCAAGGAGGAGCCTCGAGGCGGGGAGGCTGGGCGAGGGGCCACACGCCACCCGTACAGCGCCATGCACTTGCCAGCAGCCCACTGCGCCCAGGTGGCCCTCACCCAGCCAGGACCGCGCACTGGACAAGCCCTGAGAGTGCTCAAGGTAAGGAACGAGAAGACCCTCCTGTTCCCCTTGTCCTGCTTTCTCTAGCCTGGAGACCCCCAATCCTACCACCCAACCAGGAAATGCCCGCAGTTGACCTCCCCAGATATTATTCGCAAGCCGGAAGAGTCCTTAAAACCCGGAGGTGAGATCTGAATGTACACCCAGGGTCATTTTCAGGTATACACCCTGGAGAACGTGCAAACAGACCCGTTTTGACTCCACGTTGGCCCATCTGCACCCCATTGCTCGGGGGAGGGTTGGTCAGTGGGAGAGTGGGGAAAAATGGGTGCAATGCCCTGGCTTCTGCAGACAGGCACAGAATGACCCAGGAGGATGCATACTGTGTAAGCAGTCTTGGTGGGTTTATATAGCACCCTTGGTCTCCGTGGACTTCATGGAGAACGCCTGAAAAAGGTTGTTGTCCTAAGCCGTTGACAATCCATAATCTGACCCAGGAAGAAGGAAGAACGGAGGCAAGAAAGCTTAAAGAGTTAATTTGATTACAAGGATATAGGCTTTGCTACAATGGGCTGTGAAGACAAAAGATGGAATGGAAAAGGTGCATTTTGAGGAGAGATTGGGGGAAAGCCAGAAAGATGGCGTTTCCCGATCTGTGTTTTCAGAGTCCCGGTTTCTTCATTAATTTTGGATGCTAGTCCTGTTCAACCTGGGCTTTGCAGAAGGGACTTCCAATTCTGCAAAACTCTTATTCCTAAAATCTGCCTTGTCTTCTCCCGGTTTGGGATCCCCAAATCTTTCTCTCCTCATCAGAGGAGCACCAGAAGCAAACAGGTGAGGAAAGCGGGGGGTGGGGGGAGTTTTCACAGACAGTAGCTGAGATAAAACAATAGAGGCTCTGTTATGGGTCTTAACAAAATGTCAGCCATGCCAAAAATTGGCAGAAAAACATAATAGGGAGACATACCATTATTAAGGCATCTGAAGGTGCGGTATGTACAAGCTTTTGAGTTCACAAGAAATCTTTATCAGGCAAAATGCCAGGAAGAACTATGAGGAGGAAATCTTGTCTGGGCTCACACCAGACACTAAGCCGTAAGATTGCTTGTCCGTGGCTTGACGCGATGGTGGAGCCCCACCAGCCTGTTTTGTTACCTGTAGGTCATGGCTTGGCACAACGGTGGCTTTTCTAACAATCCACAATTACCCCAATCATGGCTTATCATGGCAGCTGAACAGGCCCATGATGGCTGATATCAAAACCCCATCTCCAACTTTAGGTCTTAAATGGAATTATCAAGAAGTTCTAGGGACGCAGCCTGACTCCTTCTCATCTGATAAAGCTATGAAAAGGTGGATTTTCCCACTTATTTTGAGGGTTACCTTGTAGAGGAGATGGGAAATGGAGTGTATATAATTGCAGAAACAGAAATAAGGCATGAGGAACCAAGGGAAACTAGAGTTGGGGTCCCCAGCCCACCCCAACCTGAAGGTTGTACCTTATTCCTTTTAAAGCCATTAAAACTTAGCTGTTTCAGCAAGTTCCTTGATGTCTGAAAGGTGGGGCCAGCCCTCTAACAGGGAAATGTTTGTTGATTATAGGATTTTCCAACGCTAGTGGGTTTTCCCCTTCTTTCCGCTGGATTCATTATTACTGTGGCTGTTTTTCTGATTTTGCATCTTTTGAACCTGACGGCTGGATGAGGTGCGTGAGACGCTCACAATCCCTCGTCGATTGAAGCCGTGTATAAACCTTGAAGATAAATAAACGGAGGAGTGTAAAACGTTTCATGCACGGTCTAAAGCAATTATCGGAAGCCGGCGGTGCATTAAGTGTAGATCAAACACAAAGGAACGATGCAAATTGTGATCTGATTTACAGGGATGGAAGTGTGAGGCGGTGGGCTGCCAAACGCAGTGGGGCCACAGTGGAGATAGCGTGGGAGGGCCGGGTCAGGAAAAACATTCAAAGCATTTTTCAGGAGATCTAAAGGCCTAATGAAAATATTTATGGGAAACCTGGCAGGGCTGCCTTTGAGCCAAAAGGCTGAGCAGACAGCTCACCCTCCCTAAAATCTAGAATAAGACAATCGAAGGAAGGGTCTACATTTCCCCTAGGAATTGTGAGGTCCAGCCCCACGCACGCAAAATCAAGGAATTCAGAACTACCCACGTTTCAGTAAGGGGTCTTTCATGCTAGTCTGAAATAAATACAATCTCAGGAACTGTAAGAGGAAGAATTGCCCACCCTCCCTGATAGCAATTGTATTAAGGTGGAGTTTCTTTGAATGATTGGAAATGCTGCCTCCTTAGATTTTTTCCCACCCAGGCTGAGTTGCCGTTTATGAGATGAGCTGCTAACAGACTTGCCTTGTAGCTCTTAATTTTTTTACGTCGGTACTCTTTCTGTTCCTTTCCCACCCTCCCCACAATCTTAGCATTCCCATCTCCTCTCAGACTTGGAGAAATCCAGGGGATTTATTGCGGGGGGGGGGGGGGGGAAAAAGG